CTCCAGCTCACCTTCCCTCTCTTTCTCCAATTCCCCCTCCTTCTGTTCCAGCTCTGCTGGGACTCCTGGTGCCCGTCTGCTGTGCCACTCTGCTCCGGGGGAATCTGGAGAGGACTGGACACCCCCCGCCTGCAGGGGGGCGTCTGTCCGCCACTTCTGCAAGGCGCCCACCCGGAGGCACCTGCTGCCCTGCGCAGGCGGGGTGGCGGGCTCTCCGGAGCTGGCCCTCCGCGAGCGCAGGGTCAGGGCTCTGTCTTCGTGCTGGGCCGCGGGCAGCTCCTCGCTCACCGCCCTCCTCTCCCCCACGGCGCCGACAGCGTCATACACGTGCTCCACCTTCGTCAGCGCCGCCAGCGGCCCCGGGACCACGGCCGTGGAGAAGGTGGGGGTTTCCCGGAATGAAGCCGTGGCCAGGATGCCCCTCTGCCGTGCCCCATCCTGGGCCGGCACTCCGTAACGGACAGACTGGCTCCGCTGGGCATGCTCTCCTCCTCTTCCTCCCTCGGCGAGTGGGCGCGCCTCGCCCACGGTGTGCCTCTCCACCACGTTATCGAACAGGGAGGCGCGGACGGTCAGAACGCCTGGGGACGAGGGGCAATTCGGGCTCGGGGCCCCACCATTGCCGGACTCCCGCCGCCCTTCCGTCACCTTCTCCTCGTCCTCTTCTTCCCTCCTCCGCGGTGTCGTGGCAGCGGGCGGGGCGGCGAGGGCGCAGGGCTCGTGGGCACCCCCCTCGGCCACAGTCCCCTCCTCTCCTTTCCATCCCCTCTCGGGGTCCCCCAGGGGCGAGGGGGGCAGGTCATCCACCTGTGGGGCGCAGACATAGGCGGACAGAGTGAGCGAGCGAGAGGGCCTGCGATCGTCCGAGCACAGAGCGAGGGCCTGGGGAAGGAGGGGCGGCGAGGGGAGAGAAGGAGAGGCAGAAAGGTCTTTCTGAAAGCCTTATTGTTAGCGACCGGGGCAGAGTGGCTCAAAGTGAGGAGACAAGGCCTGAGCAGTAATAGGATCTGCAGGCCTTTGTCAGGAGAACAAAAGCGGGAGGGGAGAGACTGGCGAGCCGATCAGAGGCTTGAGCTGCTGTCCTTCCCTTGTGCTCGCAGCCAAGTCCGCAGGCGCGGGCCGGAGTGTCGGAGCGCTCCACTCCCATTCCGCACGCAGATCCGGCTCTCCGCGCAGCACGGTCAGCACAGGGACATGCTGCAGGGCGAGAGTGCTGCTCTGTGCTTGCAGAGCTACGCTTCAGACAAATACCTTCCCAAAGACTGGCTGGAGTATTTTTGGCCACGAGGAAGATTTTCACGGAACTCACCTTTCTGTGGGCGTCGCTGTCGCTCTCCGAGCGGCTCCTCGTCGCCTCATTCCCAGAGGGAGCCGGATTCTCCCGAGCAAACCTGAGGCACAGAGACAGAGCTGAGCCCACAGACACTCCCCACACGCACTCCGGAGACACACACAAGCTCAATCTAGAGAGACACACACACACACACACTCCAGACAGACTTCAATACCGTCTAGTGAGGTCCGCGGGCAGTGGGCGGGGCTTGATGGATCTCCTCTGGGGCTCCGCCCTGCCGGGGGGCGTATCTGTTGCTGTCAGCTCCTTGATTCGCTGCTTCACCCCCACAGTCGGCTCCACATCCGCAAGGGGTGGGGCTGACCCCTGAGTGTTGACCCCACCTCCAGAAGAGGGGGAGGAGGAGGAGTCCAGCAACTGGCTGATTCGCCGTTTAATACTTCCGCCTGTAGGAGGCAGTGTCTCCTCCTTCCCCTCCTCGCCGGGCTCTGCTTCCTCAGGCACGGGCTTGGTCTCTGGAGCAGCAGTCTCTCTCTCCAGGTCCCTCGGGCTCACCCCCTCAGCTCCTCTCTCCAGCACCCTCTCTCTCCTCCTGGCCGGCGCCGGCGCATTCTCCTCCTCCTCCTCCTCCTCCTCCTCCTCCTCTTCCTCCTTCGCGCTGTCCGGCTTGTTCTCCTTGCTGTGCACAGCTCTCCCGGCCTTGCTGTGCAGAGACAGCCCGATGGATTCAAACTTCGCCGTGAGGTCAGAGGACAGGGGTCTGCGCGCCGCTACCCAGGGTCTCGTCCCCGGGTCCTTGGTTGGGGAGGCGTCAGGCTGATTCGAGCTGGACGGGTACATGGCAGAAACCGGCCTGGGCTTGCTGGGCTTGGCCCGGGACCGGAGCTGTGAGGGGGTGTCCGGGCCTGGGGCCCGGTTCTGCCCCTCCTGCTGCCTGTCCTCTGCGCCCCTGGACTCAGCCCGGTTCAGGAAGCCCATGGATTTGGCCCTGGTGATGCTACTTCCTGCCCGTCTGGCCCTGCCCCCCTCCTCCGGCTCCGCCTCTGCCCTCGTCCGCCCCGCCCACTCTGCCGACTGGCACCCCCGAAGGCCCTGCCCAGCCCCGGGGGTGTCCGCAGTCCCGATCACCGTCACCGTCTGGGGCTGGACGCTCGCTGGCGGGGTGCAGGGTGCCGCGCTCCCAGGGCTCTGGTCTGGCTTGGGGGTGGGGCTCGGTTTAAAGGATGGCGATCCAGTGGGAACTTCTGGGGTGGCGTTTGGAGTGGTGGAGATGGGCTTTGGGGTGTTGGGGCTGGGCTTGGCACTGGGCCCCGTCACGCCGCCCAGGCTAGGTTTTGAGGTGTTAGCCGGAGCAGGGCGGGCCTCTGATTTGGCGCTCGGTTTGGGGGCCAGGATGGGGCGGATGGCAGAGGGCCGATCCACAGTGAAAGGTTTCGGGGTGAGCCGGGGTTTGGGGCCCGGGAGGGGTTTGGCGGGCTCGGCTGGGAGAATGAGGCTCCCCTGGGATCTGGATGTGGGTTCAGGGGGGACCTTATTGCTGGAGTCGGTGAGGGGGCTCAGGTGCGCACGTGCTGCCCCCCCTCCTGGTCTCCCATCCCCCCCCGCACGCTCCCCCAGAGAGGGGGGCCCCGACTTCATTCCCACCTCAGCTGCCATGGGCCCCCAGGGGCATCAACAGCCCTGCAACTGCAGAGAGCAAGAAAATAGAGAGAAACCAAGTCAGCATCTCCAAATATCCACAGATCTGTAGCACAGACAGCCCAGCTCCCCGGGGAAGAACCGGGCCCGACGCAGCCTGATCCTGATCCGGCCTCCCTCTCCAGGCTCGCCTGCAACAGGCTGCACTGATTCCAGTCTTTCGCAGCCTTTCTCCACAGCTGGGCGCTACTCTGGACCAGCAACGGTGCCGAGCCTGGGTGAGCCTCACATAGCCCGACCACACTCCCGCTGCACAGTGGTCTGATCCACTCCGGCTCTTACTGTAAGCTGCTGCAGAGCTCTCTCATTTTACCTTATTTGGGGTAAATTTGCATTAGAGAGCCTGAGAGGTGAGAAGTTAAGATGCACACGTTGTATATCTGCTTCACCAGTGCAGCTTGTACAAGAGCATCATAGCTCACAGCAAAACCTGGAGCGGAGCAGAGTGCCATGCACTGGGAGTCTGACCTCCCTGACCACCCTGACGTCCTGATGAAGCCCCATGTGAAGACAATAACTCCTCGCTGTGCTGGTAATATGAAGTAAAGTCACAGGTGGAATGAAGAGCAGAAGCCTCTAGGATAGAAGCGCTTCTTTACACAGAGAGTTGAGGGTGTCTGGAACAAACCAATGGGTCCGCAGGGGGGTCTGGGTGAGAATTTGAGGTTGATAAGCTGCCGAGCAGCTGAGAGAATAAGACACACAAACATGCATGCGGGGAGGGGAGGGAACACACACATGCAGCTCTTCACACCCCGCTCATTAGACCGCTGAGACTGACTCACACACACCCTGCCTTGCACAGAGCACGCACCCCTCCTACCCCTCCCAACATTTCCCACCCCACAGTGAGCTTGTTGCTTGGCACTCTCGCCAGTCCAAGCAGCTCAGAGCAGGGGGCTCCTCTCCCCTCGATCTCGATTTGCTGCCCCACTACAGGACTCTGCCCTCAGCTCTCACTCACAGCTACTGATCTGACTCGTCCCTCCACTGCTCTCCTCTCCCAGGAACCTCCTTGACACAATGAGAACAGACCAGGCACACCCTGGACTTTACTCCACAGGTTCTTACTGTGACGTCCCTGCTCTCTGTCTCTGAGTCAGCAGAAAGAGGGAGGGACAGCAGTGTCTCTAGCAGTCCAGTCAGGAGTGTGTCAGTGTGTGAATTCAGGGGGACTGTGAGAGGAGAGGGACAGCAGTGTCTC